AAGCAAGCTTACGCTGAACTGAAGAATCTATTGAGAAAGTGGACTGTGAAATAAATCTAGCTAATCTTCTAATTTGTAATGAATATTTCGAGTCCTCGACGAGTAATCAATATCGGGATTAACCTGGGTATGGGCGACAGGGAGAGAATAGAGTAAGATAAAGAAAGATAAAGTTAAGATGGATTTAGTCGATGTGTAATAAAAAAGAACAAGAAGATTTATAATTCAACCGATAAGGTTGGACCTTTGGCCAATAGGTTTATTAACTAGGTAGCCAGGGAAGCAGGTGATCGGCGAGAACTTGTAAATAAGATATATGTTGTAAATAAGAAAATATGTTTACATTGGACGTAGCATTGTATTAATGCCATCTTGACCGAACAACCTTGGTAAAAAAGGATTGATTTTTGTTATCCAGAATAAATCTTTGGTTTCAGTATTAATCAAGAGTAACTGGTTTTACCTCCGCTGGAAGAGAAAACCAACTGTGAAGGTGCTTTCTCGTTTTGACAAATTGAAATATAGCATGTTTCGATAGACTTTCAAAAATGATAAGTGAACGTCAAAAGTATCGTTTGATTTGATTTAAAGCAGAAATTTACACCTACTTCCCCGGACGAAATAAATTCCAATAAAGACTAAATGCCAAAGAGTGACTAAAATGGCTTGATTTTCCAAAATCCAAGTTTAAAAGTAATTAAACAACCAGCTTTGAATCAAAACAGTTTAATCCGGATGGTTTGGTTTGTTTCCTTTGCCGTCGTCTACCACAGCGTGAAATTATAAATTTACGAATCCATAAAGATGGCGTAAAGTAAGCGTTAAGATCCTCTTTACGCGTCTTTACGAACTTCTTTACACTCTTGTAAAGAATGTCTTCACACGTTGAAAACGATAGTGCGTAAAGATCACGGAGAGAGACTAAAAACGTTGTCTTTATGTGCCTTGTAGAAACTCGTATAGAGAATATTTACGATATTTTACGGCGACTGAAAAGCGATCAGAAAGGCGATCTTTGCGCGTTATTAAACTATCGTAAATAGGCAATATTTACATGCCCATTTGTCATTTTGCGGCTTTCTGAATTTTTTGGCAACATTCCCTTTGCTAATCAGGCCATAACAAATGTGAGCTCGTGACAACATCAACGTAATGCGCTATCTTTACGGAAGGCGGAACTTGTCCGTAAGGAAGAGGCTCTATATTTACGTTTCTTTACGCAAGAGTTAAAGATGCGTAAATTTGCGATTTCATACGATAAGCTTGTCGGCGCCTTGCACCTAAAACTTCCTTCCAGAGTTAAAAGCTCTTCCCTTCCCTTAGACGGTGTTTACGTTTGATTCAGCTTTGTTCAAGGAACGCTGAATACTCCGCTGAAAGGCTGTCAAGGTGCCAGATTCCAAATCTGTTCGTCAAGTTTTAAAAACTTTACAAAAACAGCAAATTCAGTCCTTGCTTTGGAATAATAGTGAATTCGACTGTCGAATCGCACTCAAACGGTGATTTTTGGAAATAGTTCCTTTGACGTAAGGCGAGCAAAGCGATAGTTCTAACAAGATTCCTGGCGTTTGCTATTTGCTGAATCATCTGCATTCAAGAGTTTGTAGTCCAAAATTATAAAAAAAAAACTAATACGATTAGTTTAGAGAATGTGTATCGCTTCCGTTTACTACAATAACGTACCGCACTAGAAGGAAAAATTTATCAATAAGTCGCATGACATTAATCGTGTAACTAACGAAAGAAGATTTGTCATTCTTGGGCCACTGACTTATCATGTGATGACTGCTTTAAAATATTTGCTATGCAGCCATACACTGGTCTCTCCCACCATTTCAGTGGCTACTTAGCTTGGATCTTGGTACCACCACGAGTTTGAATTCCGTCGGGTTCTCTAATCGCAGCCCACGTGCAAGAATCATTTCTTAATTAGCCTTTCATTCGCTGGTCAGAATATCATTTATGATATTTAACATCAGGAAATATCTATTATAACCTTATTTTGATGCTTCGAACCTCCGAACAGAGACTACCTGCAACGACGCCGCAATTAACCATGACAGATTCCGGGCGAGTTTGCACGAACTCAGAGCAAGACCAAGCCAGGAAATAGGATGGTCGTAGTACGTAGAGCATTTTCCGCAAAATTAATAAGACTTAAATAATTGCGGAAGTCTATAGTCCCACGTAGGACTTAAAATAATAGAAATTTGTCTAATAATTTTTTTTCTTTTGGCAAACATTTAAAAGAACGTCATTACGCACAAACCTTTATCAGTTCTTGCTGGGAGCACGCAGAGACGGAAAAGCGATCAAATTGGAGAGGCCAGTGCACTTGACAGTACTTAGAGGTTCTTTTAGTCTATTTGCTAACTGGTTGTTAGGTAGTAGTTGTTCCTCTGAAGCCTTTCTAATTAACGTTTCTGAGCAAGACCAAGCCAGGGGATAGGATGATCATAGTACGTAGAGCATTTTCCGCAAAATTAAGTCTTAAATAATTGCGGAAGTCTAGAGTCCCACGTAGGACTTAAAATAAAGGAAATTCGTCTGGTATTTTTTTTTCTTTTGGCAAACATTTAAAATACCTTCATCATGCACAAACTTTTAACAGTTCTTGCAGGGAGCACGCAGAGACGGAGAAGCAATCAAATTGGAGAGGCAAGTGCACTTAACAGTGCTTAGAGGTTCTTTTAGTCTATTTGCTAACTGGTTGTTAGGAAATAGTTGTTCCTCTGAAGCCTTTCTAACTAACGTTTCGGACAACACCCGAAGATTTACAATGAGGTTGAAAATGTCTCCCTAACAAGTCAGAATTATGCCTGAGCTTTTTGCCGATTCATCGTCGCTCGCGCCAAAATTTGTCTTTTCCAAGAATTCTAAACGAATTTGTCATACATTCGGTGGTAACAACTTAAACATCCATTTGTTTCGTATTCGGCTCTTAGATAGACCTTAATTCAAGACAAACTATTGTATTCTCTGTTTGCCTCAAAATCGATGCATTTTTAAGGAAATATGTAGCAACGGAATGTGGGGGGCAAAATTTCGAGCCATTCTTGTAGCTTCGCACGACAAACAGAAACACCCTTGGCTATTAAATATTAAACCTAAAGAATCGCTATAAACAAGAAAAAAAGAGTGTCTTGGGCAGTTTGAACACCTTTCATGGGATCATTTTCTTTTAGTGCAACTGAAAATAAGCACAAACAAGGTCTTATTCTGTGTATGGTTTTCATTCAAAATTGCAAAGAGTAAAGATAAAAATCTGTAGGAACGTCACACGGCAACATCCAGGAAAATGTCCTTATCGAAAATGGGAAGAAACTAGCGCCAGCATAGCTGGTAACAATTCAATGTAACTGATCGACAATCGACATAATTCGATTCCCTCGGACTGACTTCAAGGACAAACTGCCCCTAGCAAAAGTAGCTGCTCAAGAAAAAATGTTCGATTGACAAGACTGTA